ACTAGGCATATTCCTGCACAAAACGCGTAAATCTGTTTTGGCTGTGCAATGCTTGAACAGGACATATCCTGCATGCACCACGGGCCACCAGTGACGAAGATTTAGAAAGAGCTACTAAACAATGCTAAATGATAGCATGTTTCTCACACCAAAGTAGACTACTCTCATCTCAATAGAAGTACTTGTATTTTCTTGTTGGAGGTCATCTGTTCGGCAGCATTTTCTTTTCCTTGTCTTATTTTGATTCTCCCTGGACTTATATGCAAACATTTCATATACTGCACCTTGTCTGTGATTGTCGTTCAATAACTTCTAGGTTAATGGTAAGCCCTGCTTGGATCATGGATGGGGCAAATGCAGAAATGCAAGCCTCTCTTTTGGTCGTGGCTGAGGTTAAAGTTTTGCAGACCTGGTACCAAAGAGGTATAATGGTTTAGTGCTTGAATTTGAGGACACCCCCTCTCAACAACATCCAAAAGGCATACTGCCTTTTGATTCCTATGAAAATTGTGAAGACATTCAGCTTTAATGGTGTGGAGCTTTGGCAGAATCATCTGTCTGATGATGAATTCTTTGGTAAAACCAAAGTGAAGAGTTTCCAAAGAGTTGGATTTAAGCATGTACCCAGCAAAGTTGGCCTCTGGATCAACAGACTGACAAATTGATATTTTTAAGTACTTTAGCCTGGGAAGCGACATGATGCCATCCATAGCTTCAGGTTGGAGATAGTGTATATCAATTTCTGACCTATGAAAAGGCGTTAGAAAATGCAGATTAAGATATTCTAGATGGTGGAAGCTTCCCAAAATTTTTGCTGTAGCATACGAAACATCCGCATAACATTTTAGATACTTTAAAGCGTTGGAACACTTCTGCACTAAGTGTCTCAAAACATCTCTGAACCCTTGCAATTCCCATGCAGTAGGTGCGTATGTCAAGAAGTTAATCCCGCAAGGCATTTGTAACCGAACTGTGTGCAAATTATTCGTATTGCAGTCAAGGAGACGATGAAACATACCATCTTCGCTGAAAATGTTGGCTTCGCCGCGAATATCAGTTAGCGCAGCCTTTCTACTAGAAAGAAATGAAGCAAATAACAGTCGCCGCTTTGGGAATGTCATCATGTGCGAGGGATAATCGAGGTTAACCGTGGAAGGAAGACGGAACGCATACACTGAAGAAAGGTCGATTGACTTCCACAATGTCGGATTGCATGACACTTGATAGAATCTCCTGCATACTCTGGCAACGTTGCAAATTTCGGCAGATGGAAGGTTTCTTAATACAATAATCAAACACTCCTCAGGCAGATCCAAGATAGAAACCTTCCAGGGCTTATCTTGCAGGGAGCTTACGCTGTCTATAAACCGTGCACTGGCTGTTCTCTTAGCAGGATTTTCGGACTGATCAAAAATCTCGCAGCGACAAAGTCTCCCATTTTGTCTCCTCCATAATTTTGGAGCGTTTTTCAAACTTCTACGGCTTCTCATCTTGTTCGGTGTCTTGGCGGTAACTTATCCGTCCGCCATGATTTCCGCCATGATGCCTGTTTTTCTTTCCTCTCCTCTGATTGGTTCTGTTACTCATTTCCCATCATCCTTAACAAGCGTTGGATATCATGTTCCCATAGTGATCGCCATTTTGGTTTTTCCTGAAAACGGGAGCTTTTTGCACTTTGTGGGAAATGGTGAGTATATTTCAAACATAAATCTTTTTTTCTGAGCCAAGCTACAAAGGTGTCTAAGTTTATTTGTGTCTTTTTTGCAGTCCAAGGGAACAACAATCAAGGACGCCTTGGCGCTTTGGGTATGCTACTATAACTACCCTAAATTTATTTTGGGTTGTCATAAAAGCTAAGCTATTTTTATTGACTTATTAAACTGGTAAATTAATATATCACAATGAAAATATTTGAGATATGTAGAAATTTGCTGCTAAGGGAGACCGTATGCCTTTAATGCTGGTCCGTTATGGCTTGAGTTTATGAATGCAAAAATCAATAAAATATATATAAACTTAACTTGTGTTGGCAAAGGTGAATTTAATCATGTTTGAAATACTCAGTACCACATTACCTTAGAAAGAAATTGGAATAAGTGGTTTTTAAGAATAACAGTTACAATCATATCTGGTGAGATTTCGGAAATTTAGTTGAAAATGCATGTTTATACCCAGGACGTAACATGTCGATCAAAGTCGATCATCGAAAACGTAGTCGATAAGTCGATAGTACTCGATATTTGTCGATAATTGTCAATCGACTAGTTAAATTTGTCGATAAAAGTCGATAATCACAAGATTTTCAACTGATTATCGATTTTATCGACAAAAATGCAGATAAATGTTTCGAAATTCAATTAACCAAACCAATAATAGCTCCAATGACTTTTTTTATGCCGAGTGTAAACAGCTCTAAAGTAAATCTGTATGGCAATAAACTTAAATAAAAACCTGAACAACCAAGTGTTCTGTTATTCATTATAGAATAGAATTTTTAAATTACCTCGAAAAATGATCGATTAACAGTTTCAGCTGAACTAAATTGCGATCTATAACATAACTCGAACCAACCTAGTTCCCAGGGTCTCTCTAGGCGGGGGAGATGAGAGATCCTGGGAACTCCAAGTCGTGTTTCTTTAGGGGGACAGAATGGGCCAAAGTTTAGACTAGATGCGGAAAAAAATCGAGGCCAGCAAAGCAATTAAGAAGTAAAGTAAAGTAAGTTCACATTTTATTTCATCAGTGTTTTTACTCAGTTCAACATTTGACAAATACAAGCTGCTACGACTCTCCTCCCTCTCCGTTAGGTTGGCTAAATTTGCTGGGTTTGTATGCCCCTTGCTTCTCCTTGCACCTGTGACTGTTGTACCAGTCCGCAACCTACGTATGCCTACGCCATACATCGTTTTTTGTATTTCTGATACTTGTCGATTGAAATCGATCAAAATCGATCAAAATCGATCAAAATCAATCAAAATCAATCATAATTGAACAAAGTGGATAATCACAATAAATTGTGTGATTGACTTTTATCGATTTCCCATATTTGTCGATTGATTAGTATCGACAACTATCAACAATGATCGATTTTTATCAACTATCAAAATAATCGACATGTTACGTCCTGTTATACCCTATGAATCTCTAAAGATGTGAGTTTTGGACATTATGCAGCGTGTTTGTTGGCAATAGGCCATTTTTGTATTCTACTTGTAGCTTGAAATGGAACTAGCTTGCAGTGGAGGCTCATCAGGGGAAATTATATCATCAAAAAGAGATGAAGGTCATATGTATTAGCCTCAGTTGTAAGCTACATGTAATTCCAATCCAATATCGAGAATATGAAAATGGTCTATTGTAAATCATTGACACAGTCTACAGTAGGATATAAATTTTGTCAGTAGTAATTGCAGGTTGTAAATATTTGTCAAAATGGTTTGAAGGGTGTCATGCATACAGGTCTGCAGAAATAATGTTTTATACTTTTTTGAAGTGTTATGGTCTAATTTACACATTGCATGACATGGAACTCCAAATCAGAAAGTTCGGACTAGACTCTCTCCTCTGCAGAGGCCTTTCTCATCTTGTCTTGACCATGTGGGCTGTTGCAGCTTGGAGGATGGGTAGAGGGGAAGGAAAGAGTACTATGAATGTCATCCTTTTTCTCACCTTCACCACTTCCCTAGGAAGCCTTTGTAAAGGAAAGAGGGGACTGAACATATATAGCCAGTGTCTTTATGTGGTGTTCTCTGGCAGTACATCTGTGTCTGCACCCAGAAGCCTAACTGGGTACTGAAGAATCTCTGGGGCAGTATAATAGACATAATCAGGACCAGGCTGAACAAGTCAGCTAAGAGGACTCCTGTTTTGGAGCAAGATTTCCTAGTCCTCTAGGTCTCAAGGTTCTTGTTGACCATTCAGACAGATATCAACCCACTTAAAGAGATGTAAATGGAAAGTGGCTATTGATATAGATTGATGTGTTAATAAAGAGAAATATTCTCTTGTCTTAACTTGAAAGTCTATTGTGACAGCAGTTTTTGTTTAACAGGAAAAGAAGCATGAGTGTAAAGCTTCAGAATCAACAGAAGTCAAACTATATGCACAATATCCGCCAATAGAAAAGATGGATGCTTCCTTGTCTATGTTGTCATGCTGCGAGTAAGTAGTCATGTACTCATTATATGCTTTACATCTATTTTGGGTTACACCTTTCAAAACTGAAAGTAGTTTTGCCTTTGACAGGTGTATGTAGTACATGTAGCTCAAACAAGTCTTGTTCCTGTGACTCAGTGGTGGAGGGTCTGACTGGTATATAATATAGAAGATACTTTATTTCTGGGTTCGGGGGAGGTGAAGTGGGTGGGGATGGGGTGTGCACCCTTCCTTCTTCCTGTAAATTTTACTCCCAGTTCTTGCCCCTTCCTCAGTGGTTTCCCCCTCTTGTGCTTTTTCCATTTCAGAATATTGCACAATATTGCCAAATTTCCCCCCAGTTCCAGAATTAATAGCTGCAATCTCTCTTCTCATTTTTATTCCCACTGTCCCCCTCGGGGTCCTGTTTAGAGAACTCATAGTTTATAACCAAGTAGCTTATGTTTAAGATTTTAAAACATCTTTCTCATCAGTAGTTAAGGTCTGTAGTGTATGATGCATAAAGTATACTGTATTTTACATTGGAATGTAAAGAATTTATTATGTCTGCTGGCCCAAGACTAGGCAGTTACCTATATTTTATCAGGCCATCAAGAAAGAGTTTTGGTCAAGTTCATAACAGTTTCAATTTGCCAGAACCAAATTCAGTAATACATAGTAAAATCTCTGTGAACTTTATCAGGACTACAAGCAGCTCCTTTTTCGTAGACTGTCAAGCACAACAATAAAGAACTTGTAAGGGTAAAAATGCCAGCATGAGGGTGAGAAAACATAAAAAAGAGATGGTTGAGTTCATTTGGATTTGGGGGCAAGATACTTTTGTCAGTGCCATTTTTGGGAAAAGGGTCAGGGTTCTTTGTAAGCCACGAGCAATTACCCTGACTTAAGTTTTATGAAGTTCCATTCAATACCTTTTCATTGAAAACAGTATAAATAGAATGGCAATTGCACGCACAAGCTACAGACAAAAACATCTCACGAGTGAATTACAGTGTACTCACAGCTCATTGATGGTCAACAGTTCCTGTCTTACAATGTTTAATGTTACATGATGTGCCTGTAATTAAAACTGGCACATAGATAACTTATATATGTAATTTATTATAATCTGAAACAAAGAGAGTAGAATGTCTGGGACAAGACTAGGAAATGCCTTCCTTTATGATCAGTAGCTTAAAGTAAATCAAATCATCAACCATGTTTGCATGACAAATTCAACTCTGCCACTGCTGTTATTCATGAGTTTACTGATGGTACTTTAACTACTTAACTTGCAGAAAGCTGTCCTTATCCACAAACTGTATTGAGAAAATTGCCAATCTCAATGGTTTAAGTAAGTCTTCACCGACACATTTTTTTCTTTATTGCCTTACTACTTTTGTAAGATTATATCAACCATGATAGTGAAAGTTAGGCTCAGAATGTACCATTGTAATAATTTTGAATAAACACTTTTTGACTCAATCATAGGCAGTTGTGCAATTATTAGAAAGATCTAACAAACTTACAGCACCAACCAAAATTTTAATTTTAATTTTAATTTTATGGGGTAAATGTAATTTAGGCAAAGTTAACCTTGAGTCAATGCTGGTCAGTGGTTTTTCATCGCACTTGGCCTGGGGCAGTCACAAGCCTCTTAAAAGCAGGGGCTCCTTGTGACCTTTGGTCGCAGTTGTTTGCTTGCAGTCTTTGCAAAGGCTGTTTTGCTTGCTAGCTATCCGCTTGCTATCTTTCGCCAAACCCACCCTTCCCACTCTTCATTTGGGCTTGTAAAGTGTTGGTTGGTAAGTATTCCACTGAGCGGTTCAGTGTGACGGTGCCTGGTGGTTGCCGCTCACAGGGTTGCCATGGATACTTCCTGTGCTAGAACATTGCCTGGCTCCACCAACTTTAAAGCACCAGGGTCCATGCTCATTATTTTATTGNCTTAAGTTTTATGAAGTTCCATTCAATACCTTTTCATTGAAAACAGTATAAATAGAATGGCAATTGCACGTACAAGCTACAGACAAAAACATCTCATGAGTGAATTACAGTGTACTCACAGCTCATTGATGGTCAACAGTTCCTGTCTTATAATGTTTAATGTTACATGATGTGCTTGTAATTAAAACTGGCACATAGATAACTTATATATGTAAATTTATTATAATCTGAAACAAAGAGAGTAGAATGACTGGGACAAGACTAGGAAATGCCTTCCTTTATGACCAGTAGCTTAAAGTAAATCAAATCATCAACCATGTTTGCATGAGAAATTCAACTCTGCCACTGCTGTTATTCATGAGTTTACTGATGGTACTTTAACTACTTAACTTGCAGAAAGCTGTCCTTATCCACAAACTGTATTGAGAAAATTGCCAATCTCAATGGTTTAAGTAAGTCTTCACCGACACATTTTTTTCTTTATTGCCTTACTACTTTTGTAAGATTATATCAACCATGATAGTGAAAGTTAGGCTCAGAATGTACCATTGTAATAATTTTGAATAAACACTTTTTGACTCAATCATAGGCAGTTGTGCAATTATTAGAAAGATCTAACAAACTTACAGCACCAACCAAAATTTTAATTTTAATTTTAATTTTATGGGGTAAATGTAATTTAGGCAAAGTTAACCTTGAGTCAATGCTGGTCAGTGGTTTTTCATCGCACTTGGCCTGGGGCAGTCACAAGCCTCTTAAAAGCAGGGGCTCCTTGTGACCTTTGGTCGCAGTTGTTTGCTTGCAGTCTTTGCAAAGGCTGTTTTGCTTGCTAGCTATCCGCTTGCTATCTTTCGCCAAACCCACCCTTCCCACTCTTCATTTGGGCTTGTAAAGTGTTGGTTGGTAAGTATTCCACTGAGCGGTTCAGTGTGACGGTGCCTGGTGGTTGCCGCTCACAGGGTTGCCATGGATACTTCCTGTGCTAGAACATTGCCTGGCTCCACCAACTTTAAAGCACCAGGGTCCATGCTCATTATTTTATTGATGACGTGTTAAATTAATTTTAATTTTTCAACTTAAAAGTTGGCGGTCTTGTCAGGTGTTTCTGTTAAAGCAAATCTCTCATCTTGCCCTTTACACAATAATTGTGCTGTATAATTTATTGCTCCTAGGAATTTTTATCAGGACTAGGTCATGCTTCATCCTTCTTATTTATTTATTATAAGGCCTTTTGGACAGTGATAATTAACATTTTGTCTGTCTTGTTTAGGGAATCTGAAAATCCTGTCACTGGGACGAAATAACATCAAAAATCTCAATGGTTTGGTGAGTGAACAAACTAAAACTTAACATAACCTTTGCTTAAATAAATGGAATTGAACACGAAATAGAACAGTTTTCCCCTTACATTGAACAACCTGTAATGAATAATGAACTTGTAAGAAAAACTGCTGACAGGTGTGTACAACCCTAACCCTAACCCTATGATTTTGCCTGCCTGGTTTGACCATATAGAGCAAAGTTCAAAAAGTGTTGTCTCTTGTGAAAACCAGTTGCCCTCCCGCTAAAAACATTTATGAAACCCCTGAAGTTAGGTATGGCAGGCTCGACAACTTAGTGGACATTTATGTCATGGGCATGCACAGAGATTACCTTAAAGGAACTTGAGTGCATGCTCGCAACCTAATGGGCGACAGGACACTAAACCCTTGTTCCTAGTCCTTCTAAATAGTTTCTATTAGCATAAGCCAAACAATGACCAATCACAGGCACTTTCCAGATATCTGCACAGCTATAGCATCACTATGGAATTCTTCAGGTTGTAGATATCACAGATGTCAAAGAAAATATTTAAAAGAGATAAGGGTGAATGGCTATCTTGACAAAGAGGCTAAGTTTTCATTTAACATGCATTTAAATTCAAGAAGTGTGCAAATTGTGTCCTTAGGAGGCTGTTGCAGAGACACTTGAAGAACTTTGGATATCCTATAATAACATTGAAAAGCTAAAGGGTATTGGTGTACTCAAGAAACTTAAGGTAACATACATGAGAAAATATTTTTTCTAATATTTATGTAAGCTTAGAGAATCTGGTGTTGCGTTGTTGTTGAAGTTGATGGATTTGTTTATTCTTGTTTCTCGTCAACTTTCTGTTTCACAATGTATTGATGACTGGTAGGAGAAAGTTAGTAAGATATTTCGATTGTTCCTGTGAAGGTTGGCATCTACATTTATAGTCATACCTGCAAGTAGTTTGTGTCTTTTCTGAGTGTAGTGTGTCCTGCTTGTTGGTAGTGCTCTTGCACACTTCAAGCTACAATACTTAGCATATTTCAGTGGCAGATCCAGACCTTGAGCCAAAGGTGGGGCCCGGTTTTTTTCCTTGCCCTGCTGTGTTTTCTTCCTTCTGTGATTTTTTTTACCCAAAATAGGAGTGGGGGGACGGGCCCCCTGGGCCCCTCTCCTAGATCCGCTACTGTATTTACTCCCTCAGGAGGGGGGACTCCAATGTAAAAAGGAGAGAGGTGCTTGTCATACCTTAAAAAGGAGTTAAAAAGCAGTTTTATACCTCTTAGGGTGTTCAGCATTGAAAGTTCCACAGCGGGAGCTTTCGCTGTACCTTTTAGGGTATTGAGCGGAAAAAAAATACGACAGGAAATATTTGACCGAAAACTTTACAAGTGGAAGGTATTCGATGCAATTGTCTTTATCGCTATTAACATCTTGAAAGTGTTTGTTAATGTGTTGTTTTAGAATTGGTACCTCTTAGGGTGAAAAACGTTTCAAGCCACGCCCACAAAACAGGATCTTGGTACCTCTTAGCGGTTGTTTTCAAAATTTCCGACGAGCACCCTCATATTTTCTATATGAGATTCTCCCCACCGGGATTTACTCCAAGAAGCACCTCCTCCAAATAAGTGTGTTAATGATAGCAAAAATATACATATCAGTCTCAGCTGATGTGTGATTTGTGTTTTTGAATTTTATCATTTTAGGTTCTGTATATGTCAAACAACCAAGTGAAGTCTTGGGAAGAATTTCAAAAACTGGTATGTTTATCATAACGAATTTGTTAACCAGTGAGCATCTGCTAGATACTATTATTGACTAGCAACTAAAAATGAGAGATAGGAGTGATCCATCAAATAAAAAGTATTGGAAAATGCAGGAAACTGTTTTCCCAAATCATGAATAATTCATCAAGTCCAAACAAAGGAAATCATGACGGTGGTAGTCATGTCTGATCTTAATTAGCATAGATTTTTCTTTTAAATACTTTATTAACACACAAGATAGTTACAACAGTTTTACAAGAAAATAATTGTAAAGTGAAAAAAAGGATCACCCCTATACATACAGCAAAGCAATATAATAGCAAAGTGTAAAGCTAAGATACAAAAGTGTGTTACAATTACGTGGATAATATGTGTTGAATTAACATTGTATCGATTAAAAGATTAAAGAGGATGAAAGAAATATAAATTTAACATGAAAGTTTAAACGTGAAACGGAAACAAATAAAACAAAAAAGAAAACGGGTTAGTATAGATTTTTAAGACTTTACTTCTTCGTTTTTTCCTTAGTTCTTGTTTCGATTGAAAAGATATATCAAACACTCAAGACGATGTTTGACCGCATTTCCAAACACCTAAAAGTCTGTCAAAAATACTCCTGTACGCGTTGTATTTTCATCGGTGTTTGGAAATGTGGTCAAACGTGGTCTTTGGTTCGTGACATATTACATAAGCCATGTTAACATGATTACTGTTCCTTTCAGGGTGATCTGGTATCCCTGGAAGATCTACTTTTTGTTGGTAAGGGTTCTAAACACAAAAGTTCAACCAGATAAACTCTCCACAACGGTCAACCTGAAGCAAAATAAACTGGCTGTTGAAGAGCTTTGGCCATTATAGGGAGGTGTCAGATAGAATGAAAAGTGCAGTTGGGATGGAAAATCCTGGCTGTTATGCAGAGGGGGTTGCTATGGAGAGGGACTGTTGGTGGAGATCTGACTGTATGATGGTACACTGAAAAGAGACCAAACAACCAAACAAACAAACAACAAAACAAGCAAGCAAACAAACAAGCAAACTAATGAACGAATGAATGGAACAAACAAACGTGGACAGAAACAAACGGTATCCAAACAAACTAGAAAAAGAGAATCAACCAAAAACAAACTAAAGAGCAAAGAAATAAATGATGACATGATGAAGGAACTAAGCAAACTTAGAAACCAAAAATAACAACAACAAGAACATTCTATCACAGAGGCAAACAATGTCGGTAGATGAACAAACTAGTAAGGCCTGAGTATTATATCAATATGACTACATGTGTATCAGTTATGTTTTTTATCCTACTCCGTTTTTTTTTATTTTTGAGAGAAGAAATGAGATGTTTTAAAATTGCCTGTTGTTTCCTAGGTAACCCACTAGAGGAGAAGCACTCAGGCGATGGTGACTGGAGAGACCAAGCCACTAGAAGGCTGCCTCGTCTGAAAAAGCTTGATGGTAAGAACTTGTTTGGTATCAAAATAACACTATCCATTAAACGGTTCCCTGTAATCACTATCACGACAACAATCTCGATCATGATCTCCATCTCCATCTCCATCTCCATNACCAAATTCAGTAATACATAGTAAAATCTCTGTGAACTTTATCAGGACTACAAGCAGCTCCTTTTTCGTAGACTGTCAAGCACAACAATAAAGAACTTGTAAGGGTAAAAATGCCAGCATGAGGGTGAGAAAACATAAAAAAGAGATGGTTGAGTTCATTTGGATTTGGGGGCAAGATACTTTTGTCAGTGCCATTTTTGGGAAAAGGGTCAGGGTTCTTTGTAAGCCACGAGCAATTACCCTGACTTAAGTTTTATGAAGTTCCATTCAATACCTTTTCATTGAAAACAGTATAAATAGAATGGCAATTGCACGCACAAGCTACAGACAAAAACATCTCACGAGTGAATTACAGTGTACTCACAGCTCATTGATGGTCAACAGTTCCTGTCTTACAATGTTTAATGTTACATGATGTGCCTGTAATTAAAACTGGCACATAGATAACTTATATATGTAATTTATTATAATCTGAAACAAAGAGAGTAGAATGTCTGGGACAAGACTAGGAAATGCCTTCCTTTATGATCAGTAGCTTAAAGTAAATCAAATCATCAACCATGTTTGCATGACAAATTCAACTCTGCCACTGCTGTTATTCATGAGTTTACTGATGGTACTTTAACTACTTAACTTGCAGAAAGCTGTCCTTATCCACAAACTGTATTGAGAAAATTGCCAATCTCAATGGTTTAAGTAAGTCTTCACCGACACATTTTTTTCTTTATTGCCTTACTACTTTTGTAAGATTATATCAACCATGATAGTGAAAGTTAGGCTCAGAATGTACCATTGTAATAATTTTGAATAAACACTTTTTGACTCAATCATAGGCAGTTGTGCAATTATTAGAAAGATCTAACAAACTTACAGCACCAACCAAAATTTTAATTTTAATTTTAATTTTATGGGGTAAATGTAATTTAGGCAAAGTTAACCTTGAGTCAATGCTGGTCAGTGGTTTTTCATCGCACTTGGCCTGGGGCAGTCACAAGCCTCTTAAAAGCAGGGGCTCCTTGTGACCTTTGGTCGCAGTTGTTTGCTTGCAGTCTTTGCAAAGGCTGTTTTGCTTGCTAGCTATCCGCTTGCTATCTTTCGCCAAACCCACCCTTCCCACTCTTCATTTGGGCTTGTAAAGTGTTGGTTGGTAAGTATTCCACTGAGCGGTTCAGTGTGACGGTGCCTGGTGGTTGCCGCTCACAGGGTTGCCATGGATACTTCCTGTGCTAGAACATTGCCTGGCTCCACCAACTTTAAAGCACCAGGGTCCATGCTCATTATTTTATTGATGACGTGTTAAATTAATTTTAATTTTTCAACTTAAAAGTTGGCGGTCTTGTCAGGTGTTTCTGTTAAAGCAAATCTCTCATCTTGCCCTTTACACAATAATTGTGCTGTATAATTTATTGCTCCTAGGAATTTTTATCAGGACTAGGTCATGCTTCATCCTTCTTATTTATTTATTATAAGGCCTTTTGGACAGTGATAATTAACATTTTGTCTGTCTTGTTTAGGGAATCTGAAAATCCTGTCACTGGGACGAAATAACATCAAAAATCTCAATGGTTTGGTGAGTGAACAAACTAAAACTTAACATAACCTTTGCTTAAATAAATGGAATTGAACACGAAATAGAACAGTTTTCCCCTTACATTGAACAACCTGTAATGAATAATGAACTTGTAAGAAAAACTGCTGACAGGTGTGTACAACCCTAACCCTAACCCTATGATTTTGCCTGCCTGGTTTGACCATATAGAGCAAAGTTCAAAAAGTGTTGTCTCTTGTGAAAACCAGTTGCCCTCCCGCTAAAAACATTTATGAAACCCCTGAAGTTAGGTATGGCAGGCTCGACAACTTAGTGGACATTTATGTCATGGGCATGCACAGAGATTACCTTAAAGGAACTTGAGTGCATGCTCGCAACCTAATGGGCGACAGGACACTAAACCCTTGTTCCTAGTCCTTCTAAATAGTTTCTATTAGCATAAGCCAAACAATGACCAATCACAGGCACTTTCCAGATATCTGCACAGCTATAGCATCACTATGGAATTCTTCAGGTTGTAGATATCACAGATGTCAAAGAAAATATTTAAAAGAGATAAGGGTGAATGGCTATCTTGACAAAGAGGCTAAGTTTTCATTTAACATGCATTTAAATTCAAGAAGTGTGCAAATTGTGTCCTTAGGAGGCTGTTGCAGAGACACTTGAAGAACTTTGGATATCCTATAATAACATTGAAAAGCTAAAGGGGATTGGTGTACTCAAGAAACTTAAGGTAACATACATGAGAAAATATTTTTTCTAATATTTATGTAAGCTTAGAAAATCTGGTGTTGTGTCGTTGTTGAAGTTGATGGATTTGTTTATTCTTGTTTCTCATCAACTTTCTGTTTCACAATGTATTGATGACTGGTAGGAGAAAGTTAGTAAGATATTTCGATTGTTCCTGTGAAGGTTGGCATCTACATTTATAGTCATACCTGCAAGTAGTTTGTGTCTTTTCTGAGTGTAGTGTGTCCTGCTTGTTGGTAGTGCTCTTGCACACTTCAAGCTACAATACTTAGCATATTTCAGTGGCAGATCCAGACCTTGAGCCAAAGGTGGGGCCCGGTTTTTTTCCTTGCCCTGCTGTGTTTTCTTCCTTCTGTGATTTTTTTTACCCAAAATAGGAGTGGGGGGACGGGCCCCCTGGGCCCCTCTCCTAGATCCGCTACTGTATTTACTCCCTCAGGAGGGGGGACTCCAATGTAAAAAGGAGAGAGGTGCTTGTCATACCTTAAAAAGGAGTTAAAAAGCAGTTTTATACCTCTTAGGGTGTTCAGCATTGAAAGTTCCACAGCGGGAGCTTTCGCTGTACCTTTTAGGGTATTGAGCGGAAAAAAAATACGACAGGAAATATTTGACCGAAAACTTTACAAGTGGAAGGTATTCGATGCAATTGTCTTTATCGCTATTAACATCTTGAAAGTGTTTGTTAATGTGTTGTTTTAGAATTGGTACCTCTTAGGGTGAAAAACGTTTCAAGCCACGCCCACAAAACAGGATCTTGGTACCTCTTAGCGGTTGTTTTCAAAATTTCCGACGAGCACCCTCATATTTTCTATATGAGATTCTCCCCACCGGGATTTACTCCAAGAAGCACCTCCTCCAAATAAGTGTGTTAATGATAGCAAAAATATACATATCAGTCTCAGCTGATGTGTGATTTGTGTTTTTGAATTTTATCATTTTAGGTTCTGTATATGTCAAACAACCAAGTGAAGTCTTGGGAAGAATTTCAAAAACTGGTATGTTTATCATAACGAATTTGTTAACCAGTGAGCATCTGCTAGATACTATTATTGACTAGCAACTAAAAATGAGAGATAGGAGTGATCCATCAAATAAAAAGTATTGGAAAATGCAGGAAACTGTTTTCCCAAATCATGAATAATTCATCAAGTCCAAACAAAGGAAATCATGACGGTGGTAGTCATGTCTGATCTTAATTAGCATAGATTTTTCTTTTAAATACTTTATTAACACACAAGATAGTTACAACAGTTTTACAAGAAAATAATTGTAAAGTGAAAAAAAGGATCACCCCTATACATACAGCAAAGCAATATAATAGCAAAGTGTAAAGCTAAGATACAAAAGTGTGTTACAATTACGTGGATAATATGTGTTGAATTAACATTGTATCGATTAAAAGATTAAAGAGGATGAAAGAAATATAAATTTAACATGAAAGTTTAAACGTGAAACGGAAACAAATAAAACAAAAAAGAAAACGGGTTAGTATAGATTTTTAAGACTTTACTTCTTCGTTTTTTCCTTAGTTCTTGTTTCGATTGAAAAGATATATCAAACACTCAAGACGATGTTTGACCGCATTTCCAAACACCTAAAAGTCTGTCAAAAATACTCCTGTACGCGTTGTATTTTCATCGGTGTTTGGAAATGTGGTCAAACGTGGTCTTTGGTTCGTGACATATTACATAAGCCATGTTAACATGATTACTGTTCCTTTCAGGGTGATCTGGTATCCCTGGAAGATCTACTTTTTGTTGGTAAGGGTTCTAAACACAAAAGTTCAACCAGATAAACTCTCCACAACGGTCAACCTGAAGCAAAATAAACTGGCTGTTGAAGAGCTTTGGCCATTATAGGGAGGTGTCAGATAGAATGAAAAGTGCAGTTGGGATGGAAAATCCTGGCTGTTATGCAGAGGGGGTTGCTATGGAGAGGGACTGTTGGTGGAGATCTGACTGTATGATGGTACACTGAAAAGAGACCAAACAACCAAACAAACAAACAACAAAACAAGCAAGCAAACAAACAAGCAAACTAATGAACGAATGAATGGAACAAACAAACGTGGACAGAAACAAACGGTATCCAAACAAACTAGAAAAAGAGAATCAACCAAAAACAAACTAAAGAGCAAAGAAATAAATGATGACATGATGAAGGAACTAAGCAAACTTAGAAACCAAAAATAACAACAACAAGAACATTCTATCACAGAGGCAAACAATGTCGGTAGATGAACAAACTAGTAAGGCCTGAGTATTATATCAATATGACTACATGTGTATCAGTTATGTTTTTTATCCTACTCCGTTTTTTTTTATTTTTGAGAGAAGAAATGAGATGTTTTAAAATTGCCTGTTGTTTCCTAGGTAACCCACTAGAGGAGAAGCACTCAGGCGATGGTGACTGGAGAGACCAAGCCACTAGAAGGCTGCCTCGTCTGAAAAAGCTTGATGGTAAGAACTTGTTTGGTATCAAAATAACACTATCCATTAAACGGTTCCCTGTAATCACTATCACGACAACAATCTCGATCATGATCTCCATCTCCATCTCCATCTCCATCTCCATCTCCATCTCCATCTCTTTCTCCATCTCCATCTCCATCCTGATCTTTATCGAGATCACAATCACAATCCTGATCTTCATCTCCATCTCCATCTCCATCCTGATCTCGATCACGATCAAGATCAGGATCGCAATCATGGTCATGGCTTCCGTTCTCGATCACGATCGAGATCACGATCATGATCACAATCTTGTTCTCCATCTTCATCCTGATCTCGATCACAGTCACAATCATGATCTTCAACTCTTTCTCCTGATCTTGATCACTATTGAGATCACGAACTTGCTCTCCATCTCCATCCCGATCTCAATCATGCCCATGCTTTCGTAACCTCAAAACTCGAGTTGTACTAACCCGTTGTCTTACCTTAACCTCTTTTAATGAAGCTCTAACGGCCGATTCAGACGCCGGGTACAACCTTGCGAAAAAGTTTTAACAAGTGTACGATACGAATCGTTTTTTGCAAATCAGATCTACAACTTCCATGCTATTGTCGTGCAAAAATGTCCTAGGATTTTGAAACATGTTTATAACACTTAAGACAGCTGTAACGGTAAACAATGTGATGTAAACAAGGTTGTGTACGAATTTTGCACGATACAAGCTGCGTGAGCAACAAATCAATACAAGAGTTTCATGCGACGAAATTGTAGTGTCTAAGTTGCCTCCAACAAGGGGAAATATGAGCTAAATACTCCAGCTTCAGCTGATCTGTTAAAGCTTATTAAGCGCCAGTGTTTTCTGACGAATTGTTTGTAATGTTCTAGGTGTTCCTGTTGTTCGGCAAGACGAAGAAGGAGAAGAGGAGTCTTAAATGTCCATACTATAGAAGTATTCCCCTTTAGAAGTGTAAATAAATTGTAAACATCTTACGCTTTTTTTTTAATAACCGTGCGGAGTCAAATCATGTTTATGATAAAGAGTATGTTGAGTGGGTATATATATTTAGTACACAGAATGTTCGTGATCCTCTTGGTTGCGTATATCTATGTTTTTTTTTATCTGTTGGCTTGTTTTTTTTTCCATAATTCGATCGCGATTCATTGTAAACATTTTTAAAAATAATGTTTTGTTCCAAATGGTAATAAATCCAGTTGAAAAGATGCTAGTTTTCAGTTTTGACTTTTCTTACAATGCGTTTTTAAGTCCCCCATTTTATTTGTAGTTAACTAAATATGGTAACCATGGTTACCAGGGAAGGTGTTTATCCTGCGTATGAGGGTGCGTTCCTTTGGAGTGATCTGGATCAGGATCAGTGATCCAAGATCTGTCTGGATCATGGTGCATCAAAGGAACCGATGAATCCACTGTGGTCATGGATTGATCGGTTCCTTTGATGTACCATGATCCAGACAGATCTTGGATCACTGATCCTGATCCAGATCACCCCAAAGGAACGCACCCTAAGACCCAATCAACCTTTGTTGCAATTCTCCGTGTTACAAAAGTCACGTTCACCTTTCAAAACAATACAAAAATGTGCCTTTATGTCTACGTTATTGTGACTACCGCGAGCAGTGGTATAGCCTGCAACGCAGGCGTATTTGGCGAGCGAGCGCACGCATTTTGATAAGGCAAGCGCCATCTTGGATTCAAACTCGCAAGAGACAAAGGGGTTCTAGGGAGTAGGGGTGAGGCTAAAAGAGGAGACAACATAGAGGCGAATCTACTCGATCTTGAGCTAATACTGCTTACTCGTGAACACACGGAAAACGCCTGCACTGCGGGCTAGCAGTGGTACCCCTATTTTTCTTTGGTTGAAACCATAAAACACGACATTTCATCATGATTTTTACAGGGTTGCTTGGAACAATGACTTGATTACCGCATGTATGGAACTATGTTCGTGATAACAAGCGTTATTGTGAAAATGTGTTGTTTTGGTTCGTGACTGTGTCTGATAAACACAGTTGGTGTGTCAAAACACACCAAGCAAGGAAAAGTTCTCGAAAGATAGTTCATGAAAATATTCGTGAAAAGAAGAGTTATTTGCGGAATTGTGCTATTTTAACACGTGAGTGTCTGGTGAACACACTTGGTGTGTCAATATACACTAAAGCCTGGTTTTCACTAGCGACGCAAGCACAAGCACAAGCGCAAGCACAAGCGCAAGCACAAGCGCAAGCACAAGCGCAAACACAAGCGCAAGCACAAGCGCAGGCACAAGCGCAAGCACAAGCGCAAACACAAGCGCAAGCACAAGCGCAAGCACAATACTTATTTCACCGTGAAAACGGCCTTGACGCAGGCATAAGCACAAGCGCATGCACAAGCACAAGGATCAAAATTTTCCCTTTTCTTGTGCTTGCGCCGCAACAAGTGAAAAAGAAATACCACTCAGGCATAACACAAGCACAAGGATATTTACCACACGTGGTTATGTTTGGCCAATGAAAACACTGGATCCAGATTATCTCGCGCCTAAACAGTTTTCCAAA